CGTGACTAGTCGACTAATCGTGGCAGCCCTAGTTGCACAACAATAGAAGAGTGCCTGCACTGCAGATGTCTCTGCATTCGTTTTTGGCCTCTTGAAATTTTCTTTGGCTGATACAGATTAAACTGTGGTATTTAACATATTGATTTATTGTCCAAACAATCAATGTATGCATCAGTACTTTTATTTGTCCCGATAAACAATGTCAAAAATACCCATCAAATCAGTAGCGTTGTTGTTAAGTTGATAATAATTGTGCGCCACCACAGTAACGGTGCGGATAGGTTATTTGATGATACCAGGCTGCTATAGGACAGTTAGATTATGGAGAAGATTACCCAACCTTAATCACTACTTCACCCCTTTTTATAGACATTGACCCCCACCCCCTCCAATCCCAAAAAAGATTTTCTCATATTTGTTTGAGCTTCTTATGCAAAAGACCAATTACTGCTCAGGGCTTTTTCTCTGACCTTCAGAAGAAAGACTGATGACTTTAGCAGCTGTGCTTAATATAAGAGAGTTCTGGACACTAGACTGTGGGATGGAAATTATAGTGCAGGACCAAATTAAAGCAGCTTTATTAACTTTGGTGATGAAAGCTATTCTTTCCTCCTACCATCCTCTGTCATTATTGAAATCCTGTGTTTAATATTTAGTTATACATTATGTAACAGCTATTTTTCACATGTTTCAGATTGGTTGAATAAAGAGGGCGTGACCCTGAACTGGCTTTTTCTTTATATTAAAGATGATTGTTACGTAATCTGATCATGTTGTTTTTTTTTGTTTTTCTTTATGCAATACAGATATATATGACGTATTCACAGTTTCATTACCTGAGTTATTTCTTTTTTCTTTTTTTTGAAAGAGAGAGATAAACTTACTGCACCACTTTCTGTCGCGTTTCTAAGGAAACCGGAGACGGCTGGGATTTTGGCAAGTGTTTGGGTTTTTATATTCCAGACAGGACTGAAGGAGAGAAGAGAGAGCGAGGGAGAGAAAAATGCAACCTCTATTCAGCGGCATGCTGTGCGCTGAAATTACCCCTCTCCCTGCTTTGCTCAGAAGCCTTCACATCTCACCAGGACGTGTGTGTGTGTGTGTGTTTGTGTGTGTGTATGTGTGTGTGTGATTGTGTGAGAGATGCTCTCTGCGTGAGCTTTGTGTGCAGGCTCACAAGCATTTGTTTATTGATGAAGAGACTTTTTATAGTGAAAAACAAAGTGTACAAGCAGGCTGGTTGTAGCATCGTGTTCGACAGTTGTTCAGGCCATTTTGTGTTTCTCTGTGTGGAGCTCTAGGTGGGTGCTGTTGTTAGCAGTGACCTTGGCAAATCAGATCCCGGAGGTACGGCTCGAGTCGTGCAACACAGAGGCAATACTTTTGGCTCAGAAAGTGATGTCATTTAGTCTTTTTTTTTTTTACCATAAAATGTAGCCAGCTATTGCTCATTTATATTTCTGTGTAAATTTGAGAGTTGCTCTTCACTTATAACAAGAAGAATTGAAAACATTTTTTTATTGCATCCATGGTTTATAATTTACAGCATCTAAATAAAAATAAGCACAGCAAAATAATTAGTAACACAAATTTACTCTTTGTCTGGTATTACACACCAGGTCTGTGCAAATGAACTACTTTCTCTTCTTGTCATTGGTTTGCTGTTGCTACTATCGCTGAGGGTGGCTTTTTCACTGTCATCGAGTGCTCCTCTGCATCACGGTCTCGATTTCCAGAAACCACTTTGAAATGCATTTGTCACACTTGGAATCAACTGCAGGTTTCTTTATCTGCTTAACATGTGAAGAAATAACCAACGTGGCTAAGTAACAATAGTCTGTGGCTGAATTATTCAGTTACTTTTTTGCCAAAGGTTGAGTGTAAAGTTGATGAATAATAATAACTGAATGATTTTGTTTAACTCTCTGAAAATCTGCCTTTTTTTTCCATCCAGTGCTGTGATTTGGGTTACCACGCCAGTCTGAATCGTGCCCTGCGGACTTACCTGTCTGCCGAATACAACTTGGAGACGTCACGCCACGAGGGTCTTGACATCATCGAAAATGCAGTGGACAGTTTAGATCCACGAAGTGACCGACAGAGGTTCATGGAGATGTACCCTACGGCCTTCTGTCCTCCAGCAAAATTTGAGTTCCAGCCTCACATGGGAGACGAAGTATGTGGTGCAGCTGGGTTATATCTAATAAGTGGTGCAAATATACTGAATACCTTTGAGCTTAATTTTGAAAAATAAAAATATCTCAGCCTTAACAAGGTCACATATTCAGTGGCTTGAGCTTTTTATTGGGTATGGGCTGCCGGATCAGGTTTTATGGGGTACTGAAATTAACAAATCACATGTTATTACGTCCCCTGAAGTCATGAAGCTCAACATGTGTTAGGGATTTTACTGTTTGGCTGGCACTCTGCTGATAGCGTGTCTGTTTACTAGCTGTTTTTGCATCGGTGTCTGCATTCATTTGGGAGACGTCACTGTGGTTTGCCTTGCAATTGGAAAAAGAATTTGGATGCCTACATCCTGTTTAAATTTAGAGCTTACGTGACCTTGTTTCTCTGATGGCTTGAAATTTCAGGTTCTTGGTCAGTGATGCTGTGATTTGTCTATATTTCCAGGTATGTCAGATCTCAGTGCAGCCACCAGTGAATGGGGAGCTTATACTGAGGTTCCAGCAGCTGCAGTCTCGTATATCTACTCTGAAGATTGAAAACGAAGAGGTAAAATGGGGGCAAGAAAAACGGAAAATGCAATCCGGGTGTTTGTGTTGCAGGGGATTTAGTTGCGTCAAACATGTCTCAGTTTTGTTGTCTGCCTGAGATTTGGCAGCTTTGTTATGTGTGTATTTGTTGGATGCACGGTGCTGACAGTGAATTAAAGATGTTCAACAAAGTTAACTTCAGCCAGAAGTCATCCAAGGTGAAATGGAAAATAGTTATAGATGAGACACAAGCTTACAAACTGTGTTTTTTCTTCTTGCTCATGCCCCGAAGGTAGCCTCTGAAAGCCTCTCTGTGAAGCCTGTCGTTTTGCTCCCACCTGTGCTGCATTGACATTGTAGGTGCTTCTTTGCTTCTCAGGCTCTTTTGTTTTAATGCATCTGCAGCACGCCTGAGTAAATTTACATTTTGTTTTCTTGAAAATGGAGAAGAAAGGCTTTTTGTTGGTTCAGAGTGCAGTCGCCTCCATCGGGCTGTTACTTTGTATCACGTCTGACCCGCTTCTCCTTTCTGCTTCTCTCCCTCCACATCGCTGCACTTTCTTCTTTTATCCTCTTACAAAGACACAGGAGCAGGCCTCACAACTTCATCTGCATTCATCATCATTTTATATTCCCTTTGATCAGATGGTCAGATCTTTAGTTAAACAGACGTCTAAACTATACGTCTACAGGAATGAACTATGAGTGCAGAATAACAGTATGTGCGGCTTATTTGAATATGCAAAATACATTCAGCAACTTTAATAATTGAATTTAACAAGCTTTATGACCGACTGTGTGTATGTGTATATACTAGGGGTGCAACAATACTCATATCGATATTGAACCGTTCGATACAGTGCTTTCGGTTTGGTAGCATATGTAT